GGAGCCGCAACACGTGCTCGCAGAAGGGGGATGTTCTGAGGGGAGGGGTGCCGAGGGGTGCACGCGACGCGTCCGCCGCGCGGGGCGTAGTGGGTCACGGCCAGGCAAGGCCGCCCGCCCCCTCCTTCTCCCGCGGCGGGGGGTGGAGGGGCGGCGGCAGGAGCATTGTGTGTAAGGCACAGAGTTTAACTCGGCTTGGGCCTGACTCGGCTCGGGTCTTGAGAATAGCTGGCCGGCTCAGCGAGGCTCAGTTCCCTTAGGTTCCCCTCCTCGCCTTTTCAGCTGGTCGCGTAAGGGGAGTTAGCTCCTTATATTCTGGCCGTCACCACCTGTGGCCAACACGGGTCGCGGAGTCAGCGCATAGCGGTCTGCCCCTAGTATGAGCGAAAGGGGTGGGCGGGAGCAGGAGAATTCCAGAGACATTGGAGGAGCGTGTTCAGTTACTCTCTAAATGTTTAGGGACAAATATTGTATCTAGTACCGGACTTCTGTGTGCGTAACTAACTTCATGTACAATGTCGTAATTAGCGACACACATTTAGAAACTAGCTACTTACAATATTGTACGTGTGAACTTAGGTATGCACACCGGTGCTAGGTAAAATAAATATCCTTAGAAGGGTTAAAGTATTTGCTAGGTAGGTTTAAGATCAAAATCAGTAATCAGTATCTTTCCCTAGGACATTAACTTAAGATATGAGAAAACAAAAATAAAAAATATAAATGACTTTTTGCCTACAGTTTAGCACAATGAAAAGATCCATGCCATGGAAGCTTTCAGTAATCTTGCATTTTCTCAAGTAGAGAGGCATGCTCTCCCTCCATAACATAAACCATTCTAAATTCTATAAATTGGTAAAAGAAAAAAATGTCCTAATGTAGGATGGAAACAATAAAGGAGTCTCTTGTACTCACGGTTGTATTGAGGCAACAGCTCCATCTATTTGTACTGTTGCGCTCGCCAAGTCTCTGACAGCAATAATAGAGGGAGTAGACACAGACTTCTGAAGGGGTAATCTTGCTGGCATAAGACGAGATTCTGCTTCTCTCTTTGCTTGAATTTTAGCAAAGTCATTCTGTACAATTAGAAATGAAAAAGCAAAACTTTTAATTAATGTAACCTAGGTAAAGGATTCAAGAAACAAATGATTGCCAACCTGCAGATCAGCTTCATTCAGTGAATGGGTTGAGACCCCACTACGTCTTCCTCCAACTGTAGTGCCTGTTTGATGACTAGCCCCAGAACAAGATGTGCCATCTGTTAAAAGAAGGCCCATACCAAGGCCCAGGCTGAGGCCTCCTCCACTATCAACAGTATCAGTGAATGGATCTTCTACCTCTGAATCCATACTGCTCAAGCTCATACTAGAAAAGGAATTTAAAAAAAAAAAAAGAGGATTTTGAACTATCACAGAAAAGATTTTAAAACTAGGCTATTTGTTACAACCATGCTTTACCTTCGTTGTCTTGAAGATTTCCGTTTACCCTTCCCATTAGGTAGATCTTCTAAAGCAGCTGCATAATTACTAAGAGATCTCAAAATAATACTATTACACCTGAAAAAAGGGTTCATTTTTTGAATTGATATGGGAATATGCAGCTTTCAATAGTATAAGTGTCAAGTCTGTAG